ATTTTTGTATTTCTTAGTAGAGACGGGGTTTCACCGTGTTAGCCAGGATGGTCTCGATCTCCTGACCTCGTGATCCACCCATCTCGGTCTCCCAAAGTGCTGGGATTACAGGCGTGAGTCACCGCGCCCGGCTGGTTTCCTTTTTTTTGTTGTTGAGATGGAATTTTGCTCTTGTCACCCAGGCTAGAGTGCAACAGCGCGATCTTAGCTCACTGCAACCTCCACCTCCTGGGTTCAAGCGATTCTCCTGCCTCAGCCTCCCTAATAGCTGGGATTACAGGTGAGTTCTACCACACCCGGCTAATTTTTGTGTTTTTAGTATAGATGGGGCTTTGCCAAGTTAGCCAGGCTGGTCTTGAACTCCTGACCTCAGGTGCTCTGCCCGCCTCCGCCTCCCAAAGTGCTGGGATTACAGCCATGAGCCACCTGGCCTCTTTGGTTTCCTTTGACCCTGCCTACACCTCTATAGTTTCTTCCTTAAACTCTTTTCAACTCCTCTTTGAAGAGTCATATGTTTCTTTCCTCTTTTTCTTCTTATTTTTCTTATTTTTGTGGTTGTTGTTGTTGTTGTTGTTGTTCAGACAGGGTCACGCTTTGTCACCCAGGCTGGAGTGCAGTGGCACAATCATAGCTCACTGCAACCTCGGCCTCCCAGGCTCAGGCAAGCCTCCCACCTCATCTTCCAAGTAGCTGGGATACAGGTGTGCACCACCAAGCCCTGCCGTTCATAATTTTTGTATTTTTTAGTTTTTTGTAGAGATGGGATCTTGCTATGTTGCCCACGCTGGTCTTGAACTCCTAGCCTCAAGTAATCCTCCCACCTCAGTCTCCCAGAGTGTTAGGATCACAGGAGTGAGCCACCGTGCTCGGCCAAGTCATACGTCCCTTAAATGGGCTCTTACTGATACACACCAAGAGGTTGGGTGACTTTCCCAAAGTCACACAGAGTAAGTGACAGGGCAGCTGAGAGCATTGTCACTGGAACACAGAGCAGGGTGGAGGCTTTTTCAACCTCACCAGTCTGCCCAGCCCCCTCCCAAGGTCCCTATGCCCTGCCCAACCTGCTGGAATCTGTGGTCCTTCTGTTGGGATGGGATTGAATTCCCTAGGGCTCCTGTCCTGGACCTGGCCAGCAGCTCCAGTAACCAGAGCTGTGTGAGAAGAAAAGGCCAAGCCACTGGGGCAGCCGCACCCCAAACAGAGGTGAGGTCTCCGATGAGTCATGCCCGTGAGGGGCCACTTCCCCTGTCCTAAGGGCCACTGCTCATCAAGGACCCAGAACACTGTCCTCCTCTTTGACCTTTGCCTACAGTGTTTTTCATCCCTCCCTCTCCCACCCAACAGGTGTCCTGGAGCTAGGACACCTGTCCTCCACCCCCACCCTGGGCCTCCAGAGATGTGAGATGTGCTCAGGGCTCTGGGTGGGGCCTTCAGGCTCCCCAACTTCCTCCTTCCAGCCCCAGATCCTCTCAGATTTCCAGAGATGGGCTCCAGCCAGGGAGGGTGGGGCTGCCCCTGGGACCATCAGGAGTCACGGGCTGCCTGGGCAGTGACAGAGCCCTGCAGGGAGCAGACCTTCACTTGGCTGTGCCTCCTCTGACTCTAACGCCATGGCCAGGCACCTGCTCCTCCCTGTTGTGATGCTTGGTAACCTCAGGGGACAGAAGTGGCTGCAAAGGGCCTGGGTCCTAGCACCTGGGGGACTGAAGAGCAGGATTCCTGGGTTCCGTGTGGGGAGGAGGACGTCAGAAGGAAGGAAGTGAGGCAGCAGAAGGCGAGGGTGTATCAGAGGAGGGAGAGGGAGGCCTGGGTGCCCTGGGGAGACGAAGGCTAGGAGGCTAGGAGGCTAGGGGAGGGAGTCAGGGAAGGCATCTACTGAGTGCGAGTCACCAGCCTCTTCCTGCCTGCCTCTGTCTTTCCAGTCATCAGTCCCATCCCAGGAGCCTTCCAGGACTCAGGTAAGGCAGCCGGACTGGGGGAAAGTCACGTGCAGAGGCAGAAAAGACCAGAGGACTGGCATGGATGCTGGCAGGGGTTGCTGAAGAGACAGAGAATTGGGAAGATAGGGTCGAGGGTTGGAGAGCAGGAAGTGGGGCTGGGCGGTGCAGGTCTGGAAGTCACAAGTGTCCTCTTCTCTTTACCCTCTGGCTCCCAGCTCTCAGTCCCACCCAGGAAGAACCTGAAGATCTGGGTAAGGAAGAGGCCTTGGCACCCTCAGACCTTAAAGGAGGCTAAGGCTGGTCAGGCCATGAGGGAGGCGGAAAAGACCAGAAATGTAGACAAGCCTGGGTCCTCTATGTTCTTTGTTCAGAGGGCAAACTGAAATGGGTGGAGGACGGGGCTTCGTGCTGAGTTACCTGGGCTTCTGGAGTGGGGAACCTGAGGTGGGCTTTGGCTTCCACGGCTCCCCGTTGCAGACTGCGGGCGCTCTGAGCCCTCGGCCCGCATCGTGGGGGGCTCAGACGCGCAGCCGGGCACCTGGCCTTGGCAGGTGAGCCTGCACCATGGGGGTGGCCACATCTGCGGGGGCTCCCTCATCGCCCCCTCCTGGGTCCTCTCTGCTGCTCACTGTTTCATGACGTGAGTATTCGCCCTGGACCCAGCCCCTCTCCGCCAAAGGCCAGCCCCGCCCCCGCAGTTAATCCCCTCCTCCCGCCCCACTTCATAATTTGGAGCCGAGCTGTCCCCAAAGCGAGGTGCTCTTCAAGGCATCATGGTTCTGAGTGGGGCAAGGCTGCCATACTGGTCCCACCACTCCACTGAATATCCGAGTCTGAATCCCAGCTTTCCAATGACCCCCCACCACCACCTCAAGATCGGATTTGCCCTTCCCCTTTGAGGAGTATCAGCACCAAATCTGGATCGGATAGCACCTGCCCCTCTGGCTCTGAGCCCCTTCCCCCCACGAGGGTCTGCCCCCTCCATAGGGTCAACCTAACCTCCTACTGCCCCGGCCGAGCGCAGGAATGGGACGCTGGAGCCCGCGGCCGAGTGGTCAGTACTGCTGGGCGTGCACTCCCAGGACGGGCCCTTGGACGGCGCGCACACCCGCGCAGTGGCCGCCATCGTGGTGCCAGTCAACTACAGCCAAGTGGAGC